ACCCTGAATTGTAATCTTAGCTGTATTAGGAAAATCACCTCAATCCCTAGACCCACTGTAGGCATTTAAAGGCTTACAATGCAGTAAAAGCAAGATTTGATACTCCTGGTTGACGCAGGCATTTCTGAGTTTTCAACTAATATTCAGGGCTTCAAACTATTGAAGACATAAAAACCAATAAAGGTATTAGCCTGGAAGAAGTACTGTCCATCCAGTCCTGGCAATTTAAGCCTAATCTACATACATTTTATTAAAATAATGAACTTGGTGTTAAGGGCTGTAGTTTCATATTCCCGTTTGGGAAGTTATAAAATGTGATTTCTAGTCTATCTTGCAGAGATAAATATACAAATGAAATTTATTACAGTGAAAATGCTGATTTTGCATTTCACAGGTTGTGTAGAAAATCCATAGACCATGCTGGTCTTGAACCTAGGAGTTATATTTCTTGTGGCATCTGAATGGTGGTCCAGCTTTTTACTCTTGTTTTACAAATGTAAATCAAGAAACGCTTGCACCTGTTAGCATGGAGGCTTAAAAACTTGGAAATCATTGGCCGGGCACGGTGGCTCACACCTGTAATCCCAGCACTTTGGGAGGCCGAGGCGGGTGGATCGCGAGGTCAAGAGATGGAGCCCGTCCTGGTCAACATGGTGAAACCCCATCTCTACTAAAAATATAAAAAATTAGCTGGGCATGCCTGAACCTAGGAGGCGGAGGTTGCGGTGAGCTGAGATCGCGCCATTCACTCCAGCCTGGGTAACAAGCAAAACTCCGTCTCAGAAGAAAAACTTGGAACTCTAGGCTGGGTGTGGTGGCAGGTGCCTGTAATCTCAACTACTAGGGAGGTTTAGGCAAGAGAGTTGCTTGAACCTGGGAGGCGGAAGTTGCAGTGAGCTGAGATAGCACCACTGCACTCCAACCTGGGCAACAAAGTGAGACTCCATTTCAAAATATGTTGGGAAATAGGGGGAGGGTAAGGTTAAATCCTATGCAGATTTATCAATTAGCCTTGTTCCAACTTGAGAACCTGAATTTTGCATATTGAAATGCTCCAGAACAAGTCTGGCAGTTTCATAAAGGAGTTTTTAGATGCCAATACATTGCAGATAAACATACTGGCTAAATTAGGGTAATGAGCATCAATAGATGCCTCTAAGTTGGTAGAATAGCATCAGAGAAGTTTTCAAAAAGTAACTGCTTTAAGGTTATGTTTAGTATTTGCTAAGTAAATGAAGATTCCCCAGTCTTCAAGGAGCTTGGGGAATACAGTATTGTTCTGCCTAGCCTAGGGGAAAAAAGTATCTTAAAGGAAACGAAGGTGGAGGATGAACATTAACCAGGCTAGGGAGAACAGAGCCAAAGGAGTGAAAGCATAACAAGGAATAAGGGTGATTATAAATAGTTAAGAATCAAAGCATCAAGTATGACTTAAGGGAATGTCTTATTTCGGTTGAAAAGTCTGTATTACCCACCTTCCTAAAAAGTTTCAAAGGGGATGGATACCCATCAGGGGCAAAGATTCAAATGCTCAGGATAGAGAATAAGGAGGATGAACACTAAAGCCTTTTAGATAAAAGGCCCTTGGCCCATTTTTAGATTGGCTACAGTTGGAACCCAACTCTTCCCCACTGAACAGCTTTTATTACCAGGATTTACATAATCACTTATTCTTTCCACCTCACCGTATCCCAGCATTTTCCTTGGAAAAATTGGTCAGAGATGGTAGTTATACTAACAGTTGGAGGAAGGCGTTATCCTTGTCCATATTAAGAAAAATACTTTTGCAAGTGTCTCCTCCCAAGGAACTCTTGGGACTTTTGTTACCAGTCAAGTAGGTACAGTGAGTTTGGCAAACACAGTGCCAAGGTATCTTCTATTGTGTTGTTATGAGAAAAGATCTGCAAAAGGATTGAAAATCAACGTGACTCCCACCCCCATTCTTATTTTACTCTTTTTTTTTTGAGATGGAGTTTCACTCTGTTGCCAGGCTGGAGTGCAATGGCACAATCTTGGCTCACTGCAACCTCCACCTTTTGGGTTCAAGAGATTCTCCTGACTCAGCCCACCGACTAGTTGGCATTATACGCATGAAGATAAATTACTTTTTGTGCATTTACACCACCACGCCCAGCTAACTTTGTATTTTTAGTAGAGACAGAGTTTTTCCCATGTCAGTCAGGCTGGTCTTTAATTCTTACCTCAGGTGATCCACCCACCTCAGCCTCCCAAAGTGCTGGGGTTACAGGTGTGAGCCACCAGGCCTGGCCTTTTTTTTTTTTAAGACATTTTCACTCTGTTGCCCAGGCTGGAGTGCAGTGGTGTGATCTCAGCTCACTGCAATCAAGCGATTCTCCTGCATCAGCCTCCCAAATAGCTGGAACTACCTTTGCATGCCACCACACCCAGCTAATTTTTGTATTTTTAGTAGAGACAGGGTTTTACCATGTTGGCCAGGATGGTCTCAATCTCCTGACCTTGTGATCTGCCCATCTCCGCCTGCCAAAGTGCTGAGATTATAGGCCTGAGACACCTCACCCGGCCCCCACCCCCATTCTTACAAAATAATCAGGGGACCCTATGTCATAGCCATTGCTTGCCCATAGAATACCTTGAATGAATAAGGGATTTTCCACCAAACCTCACTTGGCCTCCTCAGCACAAGGGGGCCCAATCTGCTTGACAACTCCTTGTCCTGCCTATCCCTAATTAGATGCTAATATAATATAAAAGTTGATAGATCTAGATAGTGATAAAAACAGATTTGGCTGGGCTCTATGGCTCACACCTAGTAATCCCAGCACTTTGGGAGGCCAAGGCGGGTGGATCACTTTAGGTCAGGACTTTGAGACCAGCCTGGCCAACATGGTGAAACCTCGTCTCTACTAAAAATACACCTGTAGTCCCAGCTACGTGGGAGGCTGAGGCTGCAGTAAGCCAAGATTGCACCATTGAACTCCAGCCTGGGTGATAAGAGTGAAACCCTGTCTTTACAAAGATTCAACGCTTCAACCTTGGCAGTGGAGGTTGCAGTGAGCTGAGATCTCGCCACTACACTCCAGCCTGGGTGACAGCAAGATTCAATCAAAAAAAAAAAAAATAGATTCAAGAGATATCCAGGAGGTAAAATTAATGGGACTTGGCAACTATAAGAAATGTAAGGAAAAGGGAAGAGTCAAGGCTGATGACCTACTGATAACAGCTTGGTTAAGGTATAGAGCAGAGCCATTCAATAAAGAATAAGCAAGACTGAGTTGGGGATGAATGTAAGTTTAGGATGAACTGAGCTTGACAGCCCTGTGTGAAATCAAGGTGAAACTTACACCTATAAGTCTAGGACACACAGGAAAGAAATCTAGCAAAACCGGAAATTTTGGAGTAGCCACAATCAGCAGCAGCATGTATAGTCAAAAGGCAGTTGCTCAGGAAAGCACCCTGGGGGGCCGGGCGCAGTGGCTCACGCCTATAATCCCAGCACTTTAGGAGGCCGAGGCGGGTGGATCACGAGGTCGAGGTCGAGATCAAGACGATCCTGGTCAACAAGGTGAAACCCCGTCTCTACTAAAAATACAAAAATTAGCTGGGCATGGTGGTGCGTGCCTGTAGTCTCAACTACTCAGGAGGCTGAGGCAGGAGAATTGCTTGAACCCAGGAGGCGGAGGTTGCGGTGAGCCAAGATCATGCCATTGCACTCCAGCCTGGGTAACAAGTGAAACTCCGTCTCAAAAAAGAACCCTGGGAACACTGTCCAAGGAGGAGAGAAGGAGAGAATGGGAAGAGAAGCCTGCAAAAAGAAGTTACTGAGGCTGCCAATTTACCACTGGTCTCTGCTACAAGACCATGATCTCCCAAAGCAGGGATACTTTTTTATAACCCTGCATTCTCAGCTCCTAGCTCAGTGCCAAACCTTTGAATTTTCACTGAACTGAGGAGCTTCCTGAATCACTCTTGTACACCCAAACCTATAAAGTGTCTGTAGGCACTTCCTAATCCCTCACTAAGTTTGGTTAATTCTTACTTGACCTCCCCGTCTGCTCACTAAAGGCTAGAATAATACCAAAGAGTAAGCTTTTTTTTTTTAGAGAAAATCTATCAATCATCTTATTTAATTTTGATGCTGCTGTTCTGACTACTGTCATAACTGCTAGTGAAAAACTTACTGTGTGTATATAAATAGGAACAAAGAAGAAACCAAAATTGCAATGAAGATAAATTACTTTGTGTGCATTTACAACCTGACCATCATCAAGTCACACTTCTGATTAAGAAGAAACATTTTAAACTACATTATTTCAGATTTATCAGTGATTTAAAATTACAAGTGGCAGGGTGCAGGACCTTAAGTCAATTCATCAGTCCATCCCTCACTAGCTGTATGTCTTTGGGCAAATTATTTTCAGCCTCTCTCAGCCTTATGTGGTAACGCAGGAAACATTGCTCACATGGTGTCTAGCACATAGCAAACACTCAGGAACAGTCAGCTATTATTTTCATCGTGGTACATTAAACTGCTTTCCCCAAAGAGCCACTTTATTATTATTATTGAGATGGAGTGTTGCTCTGTCATCCAGGCAAGAGTACAGTGTGGCTCCATCTTATCTCACTGCAACCTCCGCCTCCTGGGCCCAAGTGATTCTCATGCCTCAGTCTCCTGAGTAGCTGGATTACAGGCTCCCACTACCATGTCTGGCTAACTTTTGGGTTTTTAGTAGAGATCGGTTTTGCCATGTTGGCCAGGCTGGTTTCGAACTCCTGGCCTCAAGTGATCAGCCCCCCTCAGCCTTCCAAAGTGCTGGGACTACAGGTATAGGCCACCACACCCAGCCCCCAAAGAGCCACTTTAAACCTTACTCTTACCATCTTATCTTAGGAGGGCAGTTTCACATTGCTTCTAACCTCCTCCTGGCCTCTCAATCTTGAGTTGTTTAATCTTATTTGCTTTATTTTCTTGGTTCCTCTAAGTTATCATCTCTGAATTTAAAAGCGCTTTAGACCAAAAAAAAAGTAAAAAAATTTTGAGAATTATTTTCAAATAAATGTCCATCATATAGAATGGGTCTGTGGCCGCCGCCCGCTTCTCCACTACAGCCAACATCTGGCCCCCTTCAGAGCTCTGAATGGACAGGATCAGGATTTGACTCAGGAGGATTAGGATGTGAAGAATCCATGTTTGAGGGACTCAGTTCTCCAACTGGCTCAAAGGGTCTCCAGTTTGCATAAGTCACCTCCTGGGCCAGCTGCTCCAGGGAAGGGCGGCCTAATATCAGATTTCGAAGTGAGATACAAGTCATCAGGAAGCTAAAAAACAGGAAAAAGCCAACTCAGTTCAAACTGCTGTTTCAACATTAGAATTTCAGCTAAAGCACTTATAAGGCACCTGGTCCTCGTTCCTTCCACACAGGCATATGTGGTCATCTCCCCACAAGTGACCCTCTATGTCCCAGTGGGAAGGGTACCCCACTCTTTTTTTTTTTGAGATGGGAGTTTCACTCTTACTGCCTGGGCTGTAGTGAAATGGCGCCAGCTTGGCTCACCGCAACCCCTGCCTCCTGAGTTCAAGCAATTCTTCTGCCTCTGCCTTCCGAGTAGCTGAGATTACAGGCATGCACCACCATGCCCAGCTAATTTTGTATTTTTAGTAGAGATGCGGTTTATCCATGTTGGTCAAGGTGGTCTTGAACTCCTGACCTCAAGTGATCTGCCCGCCTCAGCATCCCAAAGTGCTCGGATTACAGGCATGAGACACCATGCCCAGCCGGGTACCCCACTCTTTATACAATCTGGTACAGGATTCTAGGATAGGGTAGGAGCAGCCCAGAGAGAGGCTGGAGATAAGCTGAGGCAGAACAAGAAAGCATGCCATCAGATATAGGCCACTTATTCTTCTAGTAAATTAGGGAGAAGAATGGCAGGAAAAGATATCTAGAGCTAAACTGTTCTTTCTTGTATAAGAGTCTTTAGTGTTACCCTCCCCAGAGGAAAGTTACCAAGCTTGCCAACATATGATGGCAATGACAAATGTTGTGGTGAACTGACCTGCGGCGAAAGACATAGAGCTTTCGCAACAAGAAGCGGAAGAATCGCTCATGGAAAGGAGTATTTCGCCGGCGTTCAATCTCCTGGAGCCTTTGTTGGCGTCTAAGAAAGGTCTGAACCAGAGGTGTTGGCTCTGGACCCCCTTTAACTTCCCCTTCCAACAGAGGCTGCAGCTCTGGGGGTAGAGGTCCTGTTTCTGCTCGGAAGACAGAAAAAAAAGGAATCACTGAGATGGATCACTCTCCCCACTTAGAACTACCCTTCTGCCAGCTAGAGACTTCATTCTTGAATGGCTAGAACCTCATTCATAACCCTGACTTCTTGAAACCAGGGGCTATCTCAGCCAAATGTTCATATACTTACCACTTCCATTCTCCACCTTTTCCTTTAATTCTTGTAGATATGCTAGGTCTTGCTCCAGTGCAAGCTCTGTAGTGTTGACATAGACATACATGTAGCAAGAAGGACTAGGTGATGTCGTATATACCTTATGGTACTCACCAGCAGGCAACTGATGAGGGAAAAGAAATGGATAAATTTCACCAGCTTTTCTCTAGCTATCCTGTGGCCTCCCTACTGTATGACTCTTGGCTTCTTTCTACTCAATTGTTTTGGAATTGGAAGTAACTAACCTCTAGAATCCTAGATGAGGTTATTCACAGTCCCAGGGACCCTTGTTTTTTTTTTTTGAGCTCCACTGCATTACTGCTATGGTAAAATATTTTCAGTCTATAATAAATGCACCTTGCTCATCTAAGCTTTCTGCCATTGTTTTTTAAATTGTTAAAGATGGGGTCTCACTATGTTGCTCAGGCTGCCTGTAAATTCCTGGCTTCCTGCCTCAGCCTCCTAAGTAGCTGGGATTATTGGTGTGAGCCACCATACTCAACTCTTTCTGCTGTTAATTCCAGAAAAATACCTGCATTTTTTCTCCCTCTTGAAGAGTCTGGTTCTTCTGTTCTGCCACCAGCTCCACAGTCACTTCCCCCTGCAGCAGCTGGATGCTAGTGTTGCCCAGGTCTTCACTCACAAAATTCTCCAAGTGCAGTCCTGCCAGACCAGCAGCGTTCATCATCCCACCCCACGGTAGAGTGAACTCTTTCCCAGCCAGAACAGAGACAGCACACCTTTACCACCATCATCCCCTTAGGTTTCAAAAACATTCCCTTCTCCCCTCCCACCATATGGAATGTCCCTGGCCAAGGCAGCCAGAAGGAAAGACAGCAAAGCCTCTCCTCACTTTCCTCCATACCAGGGAAATCTGCAATGAAGACCACCTCAGTGTGGTTGTCCAGGCTGCTCTTGATTTCCTGTAACTTGGCCCTCCAAGGAGACAGGTCCATCAAGAGTGGTTGCACCCAGGATGTGCGCTGAAAGGGGGACCAAGCGGCCTGCACAATGTCCACACGAGGGTCAAAAATCCTTAGGAAAGAAAACCATGTTCTAAGGACACCACAGTCACCCACCCACCAGAACTTCCGGTTCTGTCCCTTTCATCATTATTCCGAATAAGAGGGAATAGAGATAGAAGAAATGGCTTGTGTTGGCATGTTACTGCCAGTCCAGGGCAGAGAGAGAAGGCAGAAGAGATCTGGAGCACTGGGAATAACAGGGGTTAGTGGCTACCTGAGAAGGCACTGTGTTAACAGCGTCTAAAAAAAGTCAACTCACTTTTCTCCTTGATGATGGTGCCCCCTGCTGGAAGCAACCAACTATGCCCACAACCAGATCAATGGGGACATGCACTAGAGGAAGGACAGCCTTTTAAGCAAGACAACACCAGGGAGCAAGGGCTGTTTATCTTGGTAAAAAGAATTGTGCTTCATTTTTTCCCACTCTCTGCTCCCCTTGCCCACCTCTGCTGGAAGCGGTCATTGATGGAGACCCAAATATCAAAGTAGATCTGGGGCTCAGTGACATTATACTTGGGAAGCAGGCGGCTCAGGCAAGTGGCATATTGCTTCAGCATGTCTGCGTGATCCTTCCATCGCCGGCTCTGTGTGAATACCTGCCCCAAACCCCCACATTAGTCCCACCTCATTATTATCAACTTCCAAGACAGGTCATGTGCTGCCAGTGGCACAATGAGATCCTTGCCTGCTGTCCATTCTGGCTAGGAAAACATGGAACTTGCCTTTGGGAATGAATTTTTCCTTGCTGGGCTAGTGGTGCTTACTTTTCTTAAATCTAATCTCAGTTCCAGAAAATGAATGACACTGCCCTAACTCAACCCACACAAAAGATAGTTCATTCTGGCTCTTGAGAAAAGGCAGAGCAAACTCAAATTTGTTTTGCTTTATGGTGTGTTTAAGACAAAACCAGACCCCAAAGCACAAGGGGGCTCTGAAAAACACTAAATTTTCAGCATCAGGCGTCTCACCCCAGGGTTAAGGTAGCCCAGTTCACCGGTGCGGCCATCACGGTAGGTGATCTTCACATGCTGGTGGGAGCGGGAGTGCACCATCATGTCCCAGGAATAACCATACAGCCCATTTGTCCAGTTGTTGTAGCCCTACGAAAGCAAGGCAGAGAGGAATCATCAGCTTAATGCTTCTCACACTAACCCAGAAGGGGCTGCAAAACCAGCCCCATTCTTTCCCAATTGTTGTCATCTGTTCCCTTCTAAGTCCAGCCTTTGCCATATACTCCACAGCCCTTACAAACCTGGGTGAGGAAATGAGAATAGGGCAGGAATAGCTGCTCCAGGAGGTACAGCAGGGTGAAGGCAGCTCCCAGCTGATGGCGCAGCCCTGGCTTCTGGCCACCTTTGGCCCGGCTCCTCTTATACACACAGGAAACACTGGGCTGAGGGGCTGCCTTGAGGGGCAGCAGTTCTTGCAACCTTTGGGGGCAGTGGGACACCAGCTTCCGAGGCCACTCAGGGGAGCAGAAGAGAGGGCTGCTGGCTAGCATGATGTAGGAGAACATACCTAGAAACGCAGGGAGAAAATACATATTTCAGAAGTCTGGTTGGACCTCTTCAACCCTGTTCCCTTAGGTGACTTCTCCCAGGTGTTCCACTAAAAAGCAAAGTGTTTTTTTGTTTGTTTTTTGAGATGGAATCTCGCTCTGTTGCCTAGGCTGGAGTGCAGTGATGCGATCTCAGCTTGAGCCTCCACCTCCTGGATTCAAGTGATTCTCCTGCCTCAGTCTCTCAAGCAGCTGGGCCACCACGCTCAGCTAATTTTTTATTTTTAGTAGAGACAGGTTTCACAATGTTGGCCAGGCTGGTCTCGAACTCCTGACCTCAGGTGATCCACCTGCCTCAGCCTCCCAAAGTGCTGGGATTACAGGTGTAAGCCACCATGCCTGTCCGGAAAGTAATAAGATATTTGTTCTTCCTGGAGATTCCTTACTATATGACACACTGAGCCCAGAAGCCCCAATCCTCTTATCCCCATTTATTCCTACTTCATAATGACTGCCCTGGGATCAATTTAGCTCCTGCTCACACCACCCTCTCCCACTCCCAATCAATGCCTCTGGCTAGTCCCTTCCCGCAAAACTGTGGTTCCTGTTTCCTACCAGGCTACAGGTACTGACCAATGCTGAAAAGCTGGGAATTCATGCAGTGGAAGTAGGACACAAAGAAGAGGCCAATGGATCTTGAGGCATCAAAAAAGAGCAGGAAACCAGCTGAGAGGTCAAGCAGCAGCCCGCCCCAGTGCACAACCAGCAGGCTAGTCAGCTCCTCAGACAACAACAGTCTGCAAACACAAGGAAAAAGTTCAAGCACCAGCCCACTGGAGAACACAGCAGTCAAAGCACATTCATAGCACGAATGTGCCTTGGCTACTCCAGTGGCTGGGTAGATGCCCAAGGTACATAATCCACCCATGAAGACACCCCTCTAGGTGGCTTTTTTTTTTTTTGACACAAAGTTTCGCTCTATCACCCATGCTGGAAGGCAGTGGCATGATCATGGCTCACTGGAGCCTCAAACTCCTGGGCTCAAGCAATCCTCCTGCCTCAGCCTCCCAAGTAGCTGAGACCACAGGAACATGCCACCAGACCTAGCTGTTTTTTTTTTTTTTTTGTAGAGAAAGAGTCTTATGTTGCTCAGACTGGTCTTGAACTCCTGGGCTCAGCCAATCCTCCCACCCCAGCATCCCAAAGTGCCAGGATTACAGGCATGAGCCACCATGCCCAGCCCCTCTACATTTTCACACACTTTAGGTGTTCAATGTTTTTCAACATATCCTATGTAATAAGCAAGGGCAGATCTCCTATTTTTGAAGGACAAAATTTCATTGAGATGTGTGTGTGTTGTAGAAGCAGGTTCCCCAAGGAGGTCATGAGTGAGGAAACTTTAAAAGGTGAATGCTTGGCTAACATAATAATGAAGTCAAACTTCAGGAACTGGAAAATAACAGGGAAGAAGAAAGAGAGAAAAACAAGAGTAAAGAAGAAATGGGAAGAAAACAGAAATCAGAGAGGCAACCCATTATTTAGTGGAAGCGATTATAATGTTTTTTGTCAGAGCCTAAAGAGTCAGTGCCCATCTTCTCAGTATACCAGCTGCAGCGGTCTGACAGGAGGCTAGAGTGGCAAGGCAAGGACACAGGCACCACCGAAGGGAGTTGCTGGGGGCACTGGCTCACTCACCAAGTCAGCCAGTTCTGACTCTTTCCTTACCTTTTTAAATTTGTTTTCCTTTCTTGCCCATCTATACCATGTATCTCCTAAGAGCAGCTAGGGCTCAATCTTTTGATACCACTGACTGCTTCTGCTGAATAGGGAGATGAGCGGACAAAGGAAGGCACGTGGCAAATTCAGGCAAAGTAGGAACAGCTGCCATTACTGAGAGAGATGAATCACCTGCTCTATACCCATGCCTCAAAGAGGCCTCCACCCTGACTGCCACTCACTTGAAGGGACTGAAGAGCCAGTGCCGGGACAAATAGTCCATGGAATAGCCTTCAACCCAGTCTGCATCCAGCTTTTTCACACCCGCGATGAAGTACACAATGAAGATCTGAAAACAAAATGTAACACAAAATTCAAACAAAAAAAGAATCTTTTCTCCAGATAGGCAAGAATAAAATAAGGAGCATATATAGTTAGGACCACTTGAATCCATGCTCCTAGCTTACAATCCTTGGCCCAAATAATCTACTTATCTATTTTTTTAATGAATAAAATAAATGTTGATCTGAGTCCAGGGCCCAGGGAAGAACAGACTCTGTCTTCTATTCATTCATCTCAGAAATTCACTCATCCAACCAGCATTTACTGAAATCCAACCAATGCCAAGCACAGTGTCAGGCACCAAGAAAGAAGTCATAAAGCACAGACTTAATCCTTTCTCTTTGTCATGAGGATTTCAATCTAGAAGGGACAAAGCTCTAGTCTTTCCATGACAAATGAGAGAATTCACAGATTAAGGGATTGGAAAAAATGAGAAAGCCAGCCTAGCTTTCCAGCAAAGGGTAAAAAGAGAAGATCCAGAGAGGCAGCGGAGAGTATAGTCTGGCAGTGGGATGACCATGCTGACCACAGTAGCTGTCAAGGAGCTCCTCCCTCTGTCCAAAAATGCTGTACCTGGCCACGCAGCACTGCATAGTTCCAAAGGGGCACATGGGCATTCCTCCTACGGGCATTCAGCAGGCCATCCACAGACCTATACCAAAGGAGGTAAACATTGAGGGGGGCTGCTTAGTCCAGCTACATCTCCATCTTTCCTTTTATATACAATAATCTTATCTATCCTGGGCACATCTTCCATACCCTCCCCCCTGGCTATTCTGAGACCTTTTAGAATTATATGAGCAAATTCTAATGGGGTTATACAAGTCATAGAAGAAATATTGCTACTAAGTTATAACAGCAAAAAGTTCAGTATTTCCTGTTAGCTCACAACTGAATTTGTTCTAATGGATCAAATCAGGAAAAAAGGACTACAATGCTAGAAAATTACTGAAAAAGGAAAGGAATTTGATGGAGTGTTTGAAAAGCTATGTGTGTGTAAATAAATATGCAGTATATTATCTTTAAAAAAAATCAAAACACTCAACAGCAGAGTAACATACAACATAAACTGACATTTTATAGATCTGGATGCCAGGATGGAGTGCAAGAGGGTCCCCTGCTAACAGCCTGTATTCTGGAAGAGAAATGATAAACTCAGTCTACTAACACCAGATGTTCTCTGGGGAAGCAGAAGCAAGTTTTCAAGAAGTAGAAACTGGGAAGGAGGCAGCTTATACTGTGGTCAAGAGCACTGGACTCTACAGTCAAGAACACCTGGACTCACTTGTTTTTTTGTTTTGTTTTGTGTGTGTGTGTGTGTGTGTGTGTGTGTGTGTGTTTAAGACAGAGTCTCACTTTGTCGCCCAGGCTGGAGTACAATGGCATGGTCTTGGCTCACTGCAACCTCCACCTCCTGGGTTCGAGTGATTCTCTTGCCACAGCCTCCCAAGTAGCTGTGATTACAGATGCCTGCCACCATGCCTGGCTAATTTTGTATTTTTAGTACAGATGGGGTTACACCATGTTGGCCAGGCTGGTCTTGAACTCCTGACCTCAGGTGATCCACCCACCTTGGCCTCCCAAAGTGCTGGGATTATAGGTGTGAGCCACTGAGGCCCACTTCTGTTTCTTAACTGCTAGCTGACCTTAGGCAAATCCTTTACTTCTCTAAGACTTAGTTTCTTTATCTTTAAAATGTGAACAGGCCAGTCTCAGTGGATCACGCCTATAATCCCAACATTTTAGGAAGCTAAAGCAAGAGCCCAGGAGTTTGAGTTTCCAATGAGCTATGACTGCACCACTGCACTATGGCCTCAGTGACAGAGCAAGACCCTGACTTTAAAAAACAAAACCCCAGAGACATAAAATGTGAACAGCACCATCAACCTTATAGGGTTTTAATGAGGAAAAATTCTAAATATTTAATATAGTGCCTGCCATATGGAAACCCCTGAATAAATGACATGCGATTTTTTTCAAAATGCATAAAGTCATAAAAATGGAACCTTTGACTAGCCTAAGCAACACAGTGAGATCTTGTCTCTACAAAAAATTTTTAAAAGTAGCTGAGTATGGTGGCACTGTTGTTCCAACTTCTCAGGAGGCTGAGATGGAAGGATCCCTTGAACCCAAAAGGTCAAGGCTGCAGTGAGCTATGATCATGCCACTGCACTCTAGCCTGGTGACAGAGTGAGACGCCATCTCAAAAATATACCCCCAAAACGGAATTTTTCAAGGATATTCTGTCAAAACTACCTCTTAATTCTCTGTGATCAAAGCTGGCCATTATGAATGAGTTTCAAGTTTTACCAAAGGGGCATTTTTATGTGAGTATTAACAGACCAGGCACAGTGGCTCATGCCTATAATCCCAGGACTTCGGGATGGGGGAGGACTGCTTGAGCCCAGAAGTTCAAGACCAGCCTGGGCAACAAAACAAGACCCCATCTCTATTTAAAAATAAATAAATAAAAGCTGGGTGAGGTGGCTCACGCCTGTAATCCTAGCACTTTGGGAGGCCAAGGTGGGTGGATCACCTGAGGTCAGGAGTTCAAGACCAGGTCATCATGGTGAAACCCCATCTTTAAAAAAAAAAAATTAGGCCAGGCGCAGTGGCTCACGCCCTAAGTGCTCTCCCAGCACTTTGGGAGGCCGAGGCGGGTGGATCACGAGGTCGAGAGATCGAGACTATCCTGGTCAACATGGTGAAACCCCGTCTCTATTAAAAATACAAAAAAAACTAGCTGGGCATGGTGGCACGTGCCTGTAATCCCAGCTACTGGGAGGCTGAGGCAGAATTGCCTGAACCAAGGAGGTGGAGGTTGCAGTGAGCCAAGATCACGCCATTGCACTCCAGCCTGGGTAACAAGAGCGAAACTCCGTCTCAAAAAAAAAAAAATTAAAAAAGAAAAATGAAACGTAATGACTGTTAATAAATTCAATGTTTGAGATTTTTTTCCCTTCATACTCATTTTATTGACACCCATTTTATTGCTTTTCACTCAACATATAAAGAATCCTTAAGGTCACCTGCGCTCCACCTTCCCTGAGAGACGGTCACCTAAGCCAGAAATGGGGAGGGGTTACCTCCTCCTAGAACAGCAACGCTGAGCAGCCCTGGTGGGCTCTCTTCTCCTGACATGATCTCTTCCTCACAGGAACTTCTACTTTTGGCTCTAGCTCTGCCCTTCTGGGCTCACACAGAGAAAGTCTGCTCCCTCTTCCATATAACCATCCTTAAAGTATCTAAAAACAGCTATGTCTGGCTTTGGTATTCTCTTTTTCTCTCTAAGAGGGTTACAAGAGGTGCATAAATCAAGGCACCTGGGGAGATATGGAAAGAATGAAGGGGTGGGATGGGGCCATTTTGCTTTTTGTCATCTTAAGTGCTCCAACTAGTTGACCCTTTACCCTCCCAAATCCACCCAGATCAAAGTGACTTTGTTACCATACTTTGAAAAGCGTGACTGGAAATATCCCCAATGAGACAAATTCTAAAAACCTCACTGGGCCCCTATCTCTGGTAACCATCCTGACCCAGCCAACCTCTCCCCTTTAGTCCCCCAGACTCATACCAGTAGTGATTTGCATCCATGAATGTCAGCTGAAAGGCCAACAACCCATAAAGATAGGAGTGGTTGTTCCATGATGTCTTGTCCAGGAGAAACACATACCAGTATGGCAACAGGAATAACACACAGCTTATCCGGTAGCACAGGCCCAGCATCATGCCCAGTGCCCCTGGGATTTGTAGGGAGAGGATTAAGAGATCAAGAGGTCACCACAGAACCAGTTTCCCTGGGGTAGAATATGGTTGACATTAAGAAAAATGAGCACTGTATAATCAGGTAAAACTAAATGAAAATTAAATGTTATTTTAATATTTTAAAAAGAATCATGGGATCGCAGCTCAGGTGACACACAGGTCAACAGCATGAAACTGATCAGAGCAGAAGTGAAATAAGGTGCCAAAAACTTTGACTATTCACCAGCACGCTTCTATTTCTGTGTTTCTGGCAGGCCAGTCAATATTTTCATCTCTCCCAGAATTCCCCTCACCCAGAAACATGATGGTGTAGACAAGGTACATCCAGTCAAGTGGCAGTGGGCGTAGAGCATCCAGCAAGGGGAAGCGGCACACATCCAGCCCATCAAGGTATTTTCGGTCCAGGGAGCTGAGCCCCCGCTCCTGGGGAATGTCTAGCACCATCAAGAACCCTAAGAAGGCAACAGGGGAGGAGGTCATTGGGTCTCAGATAAGAAAGCAGTAGAATACAGTGGAACACAATTGAGAGTGGGCAGCTCCAGGGTTAGACTTCTCTTCTAATCTTGGCTCCATCATTTATTCAGTATTAATTTCTGAATGCCTATTCTGCACAGTACTATGTCAGTTGTGTCTTCTAGAATAGCCCCTGCAGCTCAGTTAACCAATTCGCCATTTGTGAGAAGGGGACTATGTCACAGGATTACTGAGAGGATTAAATTAGAGAAATGCACAAAATGCTATAAAAAGTGATAAGGTCTTGACAGCTAGAAAGATCCATCCTATTGAGCTTCAGATAGTGCTCTGGGAGTGCTTCGTAACCTTTTTTGCCTCCTGGCACACCCAGAGAACGGTTGCATTTCATCAACATGCTGGGAATAAACAGAAGGGGCTACTCAGATCAGGAAGCCAGCTTGAGATAAGGCAGGATTTCTCAACCTCAGGACTAGTCACATTTTGGGCTGGTTAATTATTTATTGAGAAGGATTATCCAGTGTACCACAGGACATTCAGGAGCATCCTTGACCTCTATACAGATGCCAGAAGCCACCTATTCTTCCTCCCCCACGTTGGGACAACTAAAAACGTCTCCAAACATTGCCTCACGTCCCCCAGGGAGCAAAACGGTCTCCAGTTGAGAACTACTGGGCTAAGGGGTCTAATATCGCCGCACATCTGTAAACCATTCCAAGCACACCATGCTGTGGCCTGAGTTAAGAAGCTCTTGATTAGGGAGTCACAGCCAAAATGTATGGCCCTTGTGACCCCTTGCTCTGTTTCTCTGAGTCCTCTGTGCAACTTCATGCCACAAGCGAAATGGGCCACTGCTGCCTTGCCTCTGCATATCACATAGTCTCAGATCAAAGCATTTCTAGCTGGGTGCGATGGCTCACAGCTGGAATCCTAGCACTTTGGGAGGTCGAGGCAGGTGGATCACATGAGGTCTGGAGTTTGAGACCAGCCTGGCCAAAGTGGTGAAACTAAAAAATACAAAAAAAAAAAAAAAAAAAAAAAAAAGCCAGGTGTGGTGGCAGGGGCCTGGCCTGTAATCTCAGATACTTGGGAGGCTGAGGCAGGAGAATCGCTTGAACCCAGGAGGCAGAGGTTGCAGTGAGCCGGGATCACGTCACGGCACGGCACTCCAGCTTGGGCAACAAGAGCGAAACTCCGTCTCAAAAAAAAGGAGTTCTGGCCACCAAGTGAATCCTAACTGGAGGAGACAAAGCATGTTTAATCCTAAACGTTACAAAGACCTCTTCTTTTATACCAATATCTTCAGCTCTGAGGAAAAGGGAGCTAAGTCTATTTGCAACCGAAAAATTGACGATTGTCATTCTCACCCCCAATCAAACTGCTCCCACCCATAAACTGGACTCACCAAAAAGAAAACGAAACACAGCCAGGCTTGCAGGGTCCGTTGGTCGATTCAACAAGGTCACCAGCCTCCACCAGCTGGACAAATCAGTCCACTCAAAACCCAAGAGTTTCCCCATTCGACTGCCCTGCCTGGGCCCTGGGATCCGTTCAGCCTTGTCTTTCTGTACTTTATCTGCAACCAACAAATAGAGAAAATGTGTGTGCGGGGGTGGGCTCCGCCTCAAATCACAGAAATCACAGCACCAACAACCCAGAGCTTCCGCCCACCCAGGTTGGCTCAATGATCTGACTACAGAGAAACATTCCTGCAGTACAGCCCCTCCTCCAAGATCCCCCAAAGTCCCAGTACTCCTCAGACTACAGGCCCTAACCGTAAAGTGCCCCCGAATGTCATCATCATCCAGAAGCCGAAGGCTGCAACCTGTCACAGCACGCCGCTTTCCCCATGGAGCCTCACCCCCGCAACCAGGACTCACTGGGCGCCCTCCCCCCACCACCCCTTTAAGACCAGCACTCCTCGGTACTCTCTGCCAGAGGGCGAGGCCCTACCTGAGCTGGGCGGGGTCCGCGCGGACCTGGCAGACACTGCCATTGCTCCGCGGAAGAGGCAGGTGGGTCACAGCAGCAGCGTCTGCACAGCTGCCGCCAGGAAAATTCGCTTCCCTAGGCTCCGCCTCCCGACGCGTCAGCAGCTGTGCGGCTGGCCGGAAAGCGCCAGCACTGTCGTAAATACTACGCCCCGACCAGCGGCGCCGGATTCCTTGCTTGGCGGCAGGGGGCGGAACGGGGAGCCCTAGGGCAGGGCGAGGATACCCTCTAGTGCCGTTGGTCTCCAGGCGCACTGCTAGACTCCTCAACCTTCAGGCCTTCCGAGGCACCTCTGCTTTCTTTTTCCTTTTTCTTTTTTTTGAGACAGAGTCTTGCTGTGGGCTGGAGTGCAGTGGCGCGCTCTTGGCTCATTGCAACCTCCGCCTCAGGGGTTGGGTTCAAGCGCCTCGCTGCCTGAGCCTCCAGAGTAGCTGGGATTAGAGGCGCCCGCCACCGCGCCGGGCAGATTTTCATTTTTTTAGTAGAGACCGGGGTTTCACCATGTTGGCCACGCTGGTCTCGAACTCCTGACCTCGTGATCCACCGCCTAGGTCTCCGAAAGTGCTGGGATTCCAGGTGTGAGCCACCGCGCCCGGCCTCTGCTTTTTAAACACTGAGAAGAGTCAGAGTTCCCCAACTTCTTTTGGCCCTTCCCCGATCCCATTAGTCCTCTCCAGGCTGTACCGTCCCTGCGGTGCTCTCTGATGTGAGGGATCCGGGGCAAAGGGCAAACTTTTTGCCAGAGTTTGACGCCCAGTTGAGGACGCGCCTGGAAGGGCTGCCCAGGTTTTCAGCTATTGCACAACCCCTTCATTTTCTTTTCCAGGACCTGCAAAGAACCGAGGTTTCTAAGCAGTAGGGGCCAGCCGCAGCTCACGCCGAGGTGGGAGGATCGTTAGAGTGGGGGGTGGGGGAAGACAAAAAAAAAAAAACTTTTATAAAAGTTAGCTGTGTGTAATGGCGCCCTCCTGTGGTTTCAGCTACTCGGGAGGCTGAGGTGAGAGGATCGCTTGAGCCCAGGAGTTCGAGGCTGCAGTGAGCTGTGATTGCACCATTGCACTCAAGCCTGGACAACACAGTGAGATCTTGTCTCAAAAAAAAAAAAAAAAAGCCTGGTGCGCTGGCTCACGCCTGTAGTCCCAACACTTAGGGAGGCCGAGGCGGGCAGATCACTGGAGGTGAGGAGTTCAGATATTACCCTGGCCAACATGGTGAAACCCTGTCTCAACTAAAAATACAAAAATTATTCATGCATGGTGGGGCACCCGTAATCCCAGCTACCCTGGAGGCTGAGGCACAAGAATCGCTCAAACCTGGGAGGCAGAGGTTGCAGTGAGCCGAGATCGTGCCACTGCACTTCAGCCTGGGCTACAGAGCTAGCCAAAAAAAAAGAAAGAAAAGAAAAGAAAAAAGAAAGAGGAGGAAGGAAGGGGGGGAAGAGCAGGAAGGAAGAGCAGGAAGAAAAAAGGAGAGAAGGAAGGAGAGGAAGGGAGGGAGGGAAGGAGGAAGGAAGGAAGGGAGAAAGGGAGGGAGGGAGGGAAGGAAGGAAGGAGGGAGGGCAGGCGGGCAGCGGGAGAAACAGGAACAACATAACTGAAGAGGAGATACAGAGCAAGGGCACTGAGTAAAGTGTGGCCCATCAGGGAAGGTTCTCAGAGAGGCGAGTCTGGAACAGCATTGTAATATCTAAATCTCTTGACTGGGATTAGCCATCAGGAAAAGAAGAAGTCGTCCCAGAGAAACAGTTCTCAAACTGTTGGATCTTGGGACCCATTTACAGTATTAGAAATTATAGAAGAGGCCATTTTCCATATTAGACATTTTTGAGGCCAGGTGCAGTGGCTCATGCCTGTAATTCCAACATTTTGGGAGGCTGAGGCGAGTGGATCGCTTGAGTGAGGTCAGCAGTTCAAGACCAACCTGGCTAACATGGTGAAACCCCATTTCAAAATACAAAAAAATTAGCTGGGTATGGTGGCAGGCGCCTATAATCCCAGCTACTCAGGAGACTGAGACAGAATCGCTTGAACCCAAGAGGTGAAGTTTGCAGTGAGCCAGCATCATACCACTGCACTCCAGTCTGGGTGACAGAGCAAGACTATGTCTCAAAAAAAAAAAAAAAAAAAAAAAAAAAAAAAGGCATGTGCCTGTAGTCTTAGCTATTTCCAGCTTTTCTGGAGACTGAGGCAAGACAATCTCTTAGTTAAGGAGTTCGAGACCAGCTGGGGCAACATATCGAGAGCCGTTTCAAAAAAATTTAAAAAGCTATCAAGCCATGAAAAAACATGGAAGAACCTTAAATTCATATTGCCAAGTGAAAGAAATCAATGTGGAAAGACTGCAAACTGTATGATTCCAACTATATGGCATATATATATATATATATATATATTTTTTTTTTTTTTTGAGTCAAAGTCTTGCTCTGTTGCCCAAGATGGTCTTGAACTCCTGGTCTCAAGCAATCCTCCCGCTTCAGCCTCCCAAAGTGCTGGGAATACAGGCATGAGGCACTGCGCTTGGCCTCAACTAAATGATATTCTAAAAAGGCTAAACTATGGAGACAATAATAAGATCAGTGACTGCCAGGGAGGTAGAGTTGCCGGGAGGAAGGGATGATAGGTGGAGTACAGGGGAGTTTTACAGAAGTGAAACTATTTTGTATGATGTTGTAATAGTGTCATGGTGGATATACATCATACCTGTGTGTAAACCCTTAGAATGTACAATGCAAAGAGTAAACCCTAATGTAATTTATGGACTTTGTTAATTATAATGTATCAATATGGACTATGTTAATAATATACTGATACTGGCTCATCAGTTGTAACAAATGCACCACACCAACTGAAAAAGGTTAATAATAGGATAAATGGGGAGCCTGAAGGGGGATATGGGAACTCTCTGCACTTTTTCTTTTTTTTGAGACACAGTCTTCCTCTGTCACCCAGGCTGGAGGGGCAGTGGCACAATCTTGACTCACTGCAGCCTTGACCTTCCAGGCTCAAGTGATCCTCCTACCTCAGCCTCCCAAGTACCTGGACTACAGGTGTGCATCACTGCGCCTGGCTAATATTTGTATGTTTTGTAGAGATGGGGTTTCACCATGTTGCCCAGGCTGGCCTCAAACTTTTGAGGTCAAGTGATCCTCCCTCCTTGGCCTCCTGAAGTGTTGGGATTATAGGTGTGAGCCACCGCTCTCAGGCCTGGAATTCTCTGTACTTTCTGCCCAATTTTTCTGTAAGCCTAAAACTATCCACCCAAAATAGTCTGTTAATTTAAAAACAACCATAGGCTGGGCATAGTGGCTCATGCCTGTAATCCCAGGAATTTGGGAGGCCAATAAGGGAGGATCACTTGAGCTGAGGAATTCAAGACCAGCCTGGGCAACATGGTGAAACCCCATCTCTACAAAACATACAGAAAATACAAAAATTAGCCAGGCACAGTGGTGCACGCCTGGAGTCCCAGCTGCTTGGGAGGCTAAAGTGGGAAGAACACTTGAGCCTGGGAGGTTGAGACCACAGTGAGATGTCATTGTGCCACTGCACTCCAGCCTGGGCAACAGTGAGACCCTGTAAGGAGGGAGAGGAGGAGGGAGAGGGAGAGGGGGTCCAGCTGCATCAAAGAATGCAACTGGACACTATCTGCTTTTTTGGTTGTGTGCATCAAAGGGATACTTGAGAGTGAAAAGAATGAAAGTTTTTTTGTTTTTTTGGGTTTTTTTTGAGACGGAGTTTCACTCTTGTTACCCAGGCTGGAGTGCAATGGCATGATCTCGGTTCACCACAACCTCCGCCTCCTGGGTTCAGGCAATTCTCCTGCATCAGCCTCCTGAATAGCTGGGATTACAGGCACGTGCCGCCATGCCCAGCTAATTTTTTGTATTTTTAGTAGAGATGAGGTTTCACCACGTTGACCAAGATGGTCTCGATCTCTTGACCTCGTGATCCACCCACCTTGGCCTCCCAAAGTGCTGGGATTACAGGCGTGAGCCACCGTGCCCGGCAGAATGAAAGTATTTTAAAATCGTATCTGATGAGAGTCTAGTATCTAGAATATGTAAAGAAATCTGCAACTCAGGCCAGGCGCGGTGGCTAAGCCTGTAATCCCAGCACTTTGGGAGGCCAAGGTGGGTGGATCACGAGGTCAAGAGATCGAGACCATCTTGGTCAACATGGTGAAACCCCATCTCTACTAAAAATACAAAAAATTAGCTGGGCATGGTGGTGCGTGCCTGTAATCCCAGCTACTCAGAAGGCTGAGGCAGGAGAATTGCCTGAACCCAGGAGGCGGAGTTGCGGTGAGCCGAGATCACGCCATTGCACTCCAGCCTGGGTAACAAGAGCGAAACTCCGTTTCAAAAAAAAAAGAAAGAAATCTGCAACTCAACAACAATAAAAGACAACCCAAATAAAAATAGGCAGAGGGGCTAGGCACAATGGCTTATGCCCATAATCCCAAAACTTTGGGAGGCCAAGGTGGAAGGATCACTTGAGGTCAGGAGTTCAAGACCAGCCTGGGCGACATGGTGAATTGAAAACCCGTCTCTACAAAAAAGTACAAAAATTAGCCAAGTGTGGTAACCATGCCTAGCTAATTTTTTGTACAAGTCTGGTTTCACCATGTTGCCCAGGCTGGTCTCAAACTCCTGATCTCAAGAGATCCTCCCGCCTTGGCCTCCCACAGTGTTTGAATTATGGGTTGAGTCACTGCACCGGACCAAAGGTTAGTTTAATGGGACACGAGTTTTATCTTGACAGACCATGAGACAACTATTGCAGGCAGAAATGCTATATGCATATTTCCATTTCATAACTCAAAATATTAAAAAGACATGTACTGTAAAGATTTAATACAATTAATAATTGGTACTGGCTGGGCTTGGTGGCTTATGCCTATAATCCCAGAACTTTGGGAGGCTGAGGCAGGTGGATTACTTGAGGTCAGGAGTTTGAGACCAACCTGGCCAACAAGCAAAAACCCATCTCTACGAAAAATACAAAAAAATTAGCTGGGTGTAGTGGCTGGCACCTGTAGTCTTAGCAATTTCAGAGGCTGAAGCAGAATTGCTTGAACCTGGGAGGTGGAGGTTGCAGTGAACTGAGATTGCACCATTGCACTCCAGCCTGGGCAACAAGAGCAAAACTCCATCTCAAAAAAAAAAAATTGCACTGATTCATCAAGGACATTTTTGTTGTTGTTGTTGTTGTTGAGACAGAGTTTCGCTCTTGTTACTGAGGCTGGAGTGCAATGGCGCGATCTTGGCTCACCACAACCTCCGCCTCCTGGGTTCAGGCAATTCTCCTGCCTCAGCCTCCCAGGTAGCTGGGATTACAGGCATGCGCCACCATGCCCAGCTAATTTTTTGTATTTTTAGTAGAGACGGGGTTTCACCACGTTGACCAGGATGGTCTCGATCTCTTGACATTGTGATCCACCCGCCTTGGCCTCCCAAAGTGCTGGGATTACAGGCGGGCGCCACCGCGCCCGGCCCAAGGACATTCTTAATAGAAAGTGGCTTTTTTTTTTTTTTTAAGATGGAGTCTCGCACAGTCACCCAGGCTGGAGTGCAATGGCATGATCTCGGCTCACTGCAACCTCTGCTTCCCAGGTTCACTCGATTCTCCTGCCTCAGCCTCTGGAGTAGCTGGGATTATAGGTGCACGCCACCACACCTGGCTAATTTTTTGTATTTTTAGTAAAGACGGGGTTTCACTATGTTGGCCAGACTGGTCTCAAACTCCTGACCTCGTGATCTGCACGCCTCAGCCTCCCAAAGTGCTGGGATTACAGGCATGAGCCACGGCGCCCTGCCGAAAGTGGCATTTTTGAAACTTGCAAGCGCATGGCATTGAGGAATACAATAGCTACTACTGCAATTTGATGTCCCGTCTTTATTCCTGCTTAGTTGCCAGCACTTTCACCCACCATTGGTTTTGCATCATCAGTACAAATGCCAATTGTTAAAAAGGCAAATATCTCAGTATCACTACAATAATGTTGTCTTTGAAGTCCCCAGGATTTCCTAGGCCGCACACTGAGAACTATTGTCCTAAAGGAAAAGAATGGCAGATGTAGGCATAAAAAGGGGATTATTGGTGGGCTAGGCATGTGGTGGCTCATGCCTGTGATCCCAGCACTTTGGGAGGCCAAGGTGGGTGGATCACCCGAGGTCAGGAGTTCCAGACCAGCCTGACCAACATGGTGAAACCTCGTCTCTACTAAACACAAAAAAATAGTGGCTATTCATAGATGCGATCCCACTACTGATCAGCATGGGAGTTTTAACCTGCTCTGTTTCCTACCTGGGCTGGTTCACCCCTCCTTAGGCAACATGGTGGTTCCTCACTCCCGGGAGGTCATTATAATAACGTTGAACTTAGTGCAGATACCCGATGGGCATAGCACACTATGTCCCAAAACTCCTGGGCTCTAGTAATCCTCCTGCCTCAGTCTCCCAAGTAGCTGAGACTACAGACAACTGCCACCATGCCTGGCTTTTTTAAGACAGGGTCTCACTCTGTCACCCAGGCTGAGTGGCATGATCACAGCTCATTGCAGACTTGACATCCTGGGTTCAAGTGATCTACTTGCTTCAGCTTTCTTAGGAGCTGGGACTAGGCATACACTCCCATACCCGGATAATTTATTATACTTTGGAGAGGCAAGTTCTCACTAAATTGCCCAAGCTGGTCTTGAACCCTTGAACACAAGTGATCCTCCCACCTTGGCCTCTCAAAGTGCTGGGATTATAGCATAAGCCATTGCTCCCAGCCTGAGATGGATTTCTTAATCCACTGTCAAACTCTGGCCCAAACGAATTCAGTTTGATTTAGAAAATTTGTATTAACTCTTCTAGGACTGCTCTCAAAATTAATGCTTCCATTAAGTTCAGCATTATGCTCTGTTATGTGCTAAGGACTGAACAAGTTACAGCGAGGGGAAAATGACTAAATTGTTGCCTCTGTCCTCTAGGAGCTAAAGTGTAAGGAAACAGATGATAATAATAAAAGAATTTAGAAATAATAGGATAGTAATAACAGTAATTGAATGTAGAAAGTAATAAATATTAAATGAGTGCTATGGGAGCATTGAGGAAGAAATTAATTACAATAGAGAAATCAGGAAAGTTTTTTTGAGACAGGGTCTCACTGTCTCACTTGGGCTTTGAAGGATGAGTGAAATTTTGAAAGGAGAGAGGGAAATCAAAAGTTCAAAAATTTTTTTAATTTAAAAAAATATTTGGCCGGGCGCAGTGGCTCACGCCTGTAATCCCAGCACTTTGGGAGGCTGAGGCGGGTGAATCACCTGAGGTCAGGAGTTCGAGACCAGCCTGACCAATACGGTGAAACCCTGTCTTTAAAAAAAAAAAAAAGAAAGAAAAATATTTGGGCTAGGCATGGTGGCTCATGCCTATAATTCCAGCACTTTGGGAGGCCAAGGCAGGTGGATCATCTGAGGTCAGGAGTTTGAGACCAGCTTGGTCAACATGGCGAAACCCCATCTTTACTAAAAATACAAAAATTAGCCAGGCATGGTGGAGCATGCCTGTAATCCTAGCTACTTAGGAGGCTGAGGCAGGAGAATCGCTTGAACCCAGGAGGTGGAGGTTGCACTGAGCTGAGATCATGCCACTGCACTCCAGCCTGGGTCTGGAGTCACAGAGTGAGACTCTTATCTATAAAATAAAATTACATTAAATTAAAATACACTTTGTAGAGATGGGGCTCATTATATTGACCAGGCTCATCTGGAACTCCTGGCCTCATGCATCTTCTTGCCTTAGCCTCCCAAAGTGATGCAATTACAGGTATGAGCCACCTCACACAGCCGGAAATCAAAAGTTCTTAATAGGCTTGGGTAAACTGAGAGTATTCTGTATAAGAAAAACACAGCTAATAAATGAGCTTGCTAACTCAGTACCTCCAGTTTTTCCTTTCAGGACCAATATACAAAGATTTGTGGTATTTAGCATTCTTTATCCATAAAATAGGGCAAACTTTAGGAAAGAAATTTCTCCATGTGTCCAGGCGCTGTGGCTTATGCCCGTAATCCTAGCACTATGGGAGGCCGAGGTGCGTGGATCACCTGAGGTCAGGAGTTCAGGACTAGCTTGGCCATCATGGTGAAACCCCATCTTTAAAAAAGGAAATTTCTCCATGAATCTTTTCCAAAAAAAAAATCATCTTTCTCTGCGCCGTAGAGAAAGAAACCTTCTTTCAGACTTCTTAGTTCAATATCTGAAACATTTACTGAGTTGCCTACATGTATAGGACATATGTCATATACTACAAGGGGTACCAAAGTGAGGACTCGGTACCTGCCTGCCTATTATAGAACTTAGAGTGTTGGAGTGGGTCAAATGTGTATAATAAAGTATGTGAAAGATTCTTTTTTTTTGAGATGGAGTTTCGCTCTTGTTACCCAGGCTGGAGTGCAATGGCGCGATCTTGGCTCACCGAAACCTCCGCCTCCTGGGTTCAGGCAATTCTCCTGCCTCAGCCTCCCAGGTAGCTGGGATTACAGGCACACGCCACCATGCCCAGCCAATTTTTGTCTTTTTATTAGAGACAGGGGTTTCACCATGTTGACCAGGATGGTCTCTTGACCTCGTGATCCACCCACCTTGGCCTCCCAAAGTGCTGGGATTACAGGCTTGAGCCACCGCGCCCGGCTGAGGCTATGTCTTAAATGTGAATAGAATTGTCACAAGCAGTCATGAGTGAAGGCTTTAGGCGA